ATATATATATATATATACACACACAAAAATATATGTATATATAGAATATATATACAGCAAAACTCTAGCATAATTCATAGGAAGGTAGATGGAATTAAACTGAGTCGAAAAGTCATTTTGCAATTTTCGCAATAGTTAATAAGATATGAATTACTAAAAATCGTTGAATATTGGTTTTCAATCATTTTTTTCTCAAATGCTATCAATTTTACAGAAAATCAGCAAGAGACAAAAATTTTCTTTTCATAAAGTTCTAAGAATTTTTTCAGAATTTTTACGGAATTTTTTAATATCATATTTTCTCATATTGGTAAAAATAAGAAAATGCATACTAAAAAGTTGATTAAATTTTGAAAAAATTCTATGAGGAAAAAATAAATGATTTGTGTCTCTTGTAATTTTTCTGTAAAGTTTACAGTATTTGAGTAAAAAATTATTGAAGACTAATATTCAGCAATTTTTAGTAATTAATATCTCGTTAATTATTACGAAAATTGCAAAAATGATAGAGGACTCTTCAATTCAGATTAGTCCCATCTATCTTCCTGTGAATTATTGCTAGAGTCTCGTCGATATCCAATATATATATATATGTACATATATAATATATTTAATATTAATATAGGTATATAATAAATATATAAAAACATTATATGTCTATATAATAAATATATATAAATTTTCATTTTTCATATTTCCACTCTATTATATATAGTATGGATCATCATATCTTGCAGGTATCTCTTTTTTTTTTTAATTTCAGTTTCGATAAAAATTCTACTTTGCTGAATATCGCTGTATCAAGGCAACGATTATTGTATATAAATCTCGTAATAGCAAACCATAAAATAGCGTGAAAAATCCCTTCCGCATTATGAGTAGCAGTTAGCCACTAAAATCTTGAATTTTATTGTTTAGGAGTGAAGAAGAGGCAACCTTATTATATCGATCAGAGCTTCGAACAGAGTGCTATTACGTTTCAGTGTACGTAAGAATGTTCACTTTTCACATTATCGCCCTAGAGAAAAAATTACGTGACCGCTATTCTGATACAACGGCAGCAAACTAGAATCTTCATGATCGAAACTGAAGTTGTCCAAAAAAAGAAAAGAGAGTCAATTGCAAGACAATAGATCCATAATTTATTCTAACGTCAGCAGAATTGCGTCGCGGAAGAAGTTACGTAAACTCATTTTCATGCCTCGTTATGGAAAAATGTCGTTTCCCAGGCAACATGAATGGAAAACGATCGACGAAACACCTCTTGCGAGTACCCGTGCGGCAAATCGTTCCACATACACGACGCAATAAAAGAACTTGTCTATTCTTCCGCTTTTGCCTCTTGTTCTCCATCCTTCTTTCGTGTTACACCACGTCCTTGTTTTCCGTCTCTTTCTCTCGCTCCTGCCGCCGATATGAGCTAATTACAGGGAAAGTTCGCATTAAGCGACCGTCTGATTAAGTAAATAAATAAAAAGAAAATGCGAAGCACACGAACACGTATATGCTTGAACGTCGGGAATAAGAGGAGGGGCGACAGCTGCAATTACGCCCCGTGAAATGCGGAATTGACGAATCGCGCCGAAAGAAGAAGGAACCAGTCCTGTGTCGGGATTACGAAACAATCCAGAAGCGGGCCATTAGCTGAAAAAGACTTCACACAATTTTGTACTATATCTTTACGTGGTACCCTCGAAAAGGGAAATGCCGGAAGTCGACAATTTGCGAAGCGTTTAACTTGACGCGTCGCAGGTAGAGATGCAGGTAACAAGACAATTTCTCTGGAGATGCGCAGGCGGGGAAAGTCATCGTATTTCTTGCTATAATAAAAGAAGAACCTTGCCTTTAATCGTGTAAGTGCAGTGCGTAAACAGTATAATTACGAGAAATTATACTATAATTTATACTGTTCATGATAAATATCAATTGCGTCTAAATATGCAATTGCAACGCAAACAAATATTCAGATATTCAGGCATGTTCATGTTGTTCAATTTAATGAAATGTTAGGCCTTGATATCGCTTCAATTAAGGCATGAATTACAGAGGCGCGAACGTAATAAAGCCAATATGAAATCTCGCGGCGTTTTATAGGCGCCGTGCCGGAGCACCCCAATAACAACGTACGAAAGTGAATTGCTGTCGTTTAACGGCAATGAGACATGACGTGTGTCATATAAACAAAGTCCTAACGAACGACAGGCGTAATTGAGATGTAAAAAATATTACATGTCATCGACCAGATGGATCTCAAGTCTTCTGCGTAACAATTATAATTCTAAAAATTAAGGTAATATATAAGAATATAATCTTGAAATTAATTTTTTATATTCGAATAAATTATATCTTGCACTAATTATCCGATTTGTACTTACAGAAAAAGAAGGGAAATATGGGAATGTTCCAAAAAAAATCGTTATTTTTACCCATAAATACCCGAGAGAAAAATGTCAAAGGCCGAAATCTCCATTTTTCTGAGAAAGAAAAGATTGCGAAAAATTAAAATGACGAATAATATTTCTGCATATATTAAATAGATAAACTTATCCGAAATTAAAATTTTATAATTCCATAAATCAAAATTCATTCCATAAATCATGAATAATCTATGGGTCGTCGAGGATTATTTAAACGCAAAGACTTTTTTATGGTAATTCAATAGTTCAACGCATCGTTGAATCGAATCCAAAAAAAAAAAATCATAATTAGAAACTTCAATTATTGCTTATTTACAATGTAATTAGTACTAATTACATTATAATTACATAAGTAATAATTGAAGTTTCTAATAATGATCCTTCTATTCTTTATAACTTAACGTTTAATTCATAGTGTCAAAATCGGCGAAGTTATATATATATATATAAGTTACGGGAGAAATTCGCACTTTCTCACAGGATTTCACGAGGTCGGACAAATCGTTTGTCTGCCAATTAGAACAAAATCTCCTCGAAATCTCGGTCGACTTTGAAAATTTGTGTTCGCTGCGTTTCTCGCGAATCGAGGAATTAGCCGGAAGTGAAATGATCTCATTAGTGCTAACGCATTTCGTAATCGGTATGTCGCACCGCATGCGTGCATTATATCAAAGTCGAGAGGCAACGATCAGCCTAAAATGGAAATTTTAGCATATCATATACTCGCGAGGCATGTACTTGTGCCTGGGACGAGAACGCTCGCAATGTAAAACGCCAAGAAAGGCATACATATATATACATATGAGGCATTTTGCATGGTTTATTATATGAACAATGAACTTACTTAATACAGAACTTACTTAATATATATATAAGAAAGACATACACACACACACACACATATATAATATATATATATACATATGAGGCATTTTGCATGGTTTATTATATGGACAATGAATTTACTTAATACAGAACTTACTTAATATATATATAAGAAAGGCATACACACACACACACATATATAATATATATATATATATATATATATATACATATGAGGCATTTTGCATGGTTTATTATATGGACAATGAACTTACTTAATACAGAACTTACTTAATATATATATAAGAAAG